TCACTCAAATGCGACTTCCACAAGCCACCCAACCTGCAACCCTCGTCACGACCTGCCAGTGCACGAGCCTTTGTACGCAGTGTGCGAGCTGGTGAGTGTGCGAGCTGGTGAGTGTGTGAGCTGGTGGGTGTGCGAGCCGGTGGGTGTGCGAATTGGTGAGTGTGCGAATTGGTGAGTCTGCGAGTAGGTGAGTGTGTGTGTGCGATGATTTTTTAGCTGATTTTTTGAGTGGTTCGGGCGACGGTGTCAGTCGGTTCCTAACTGTCGTGCAGCAGCCTGCCGTCAGGGTGTGCTACGGACTGGTACCTGTCGGTCGCCTTTGGTAGAGCTTCTAATTTTTTTGGTCTGGCGTGCACCTTCTGCGCCTTGACACCGGTTAAGCCCTCGAGTCGCAACCGTCTCGCCCAACGATGCGAATATTTTATCACAGTCAGTCCGACACGTGCTCTCAAATTCGACCTGTAACCTGGACTTGTGAACGTGTGTGCACCAGAGCTGAATTCTTTACCCTCAAACATTAAGTAGGAAATAAAACGCTCCTGTCTTCTTCCTTGTCATAACACTGTCCTGTGCGGCAGAAACACACAACGCCAGACAATTACATCAGATACTAATATCATCATCACCGTCATTCGGACGAAAGATGGTTAATAATGTTTATCATCATACATGTCTAAGAGCTGACCATAAATAAATGAAGGTTGGAGAAGGTGTCAGAGAATGGATATCAACTTTAATAATCATGAATTGACTCATTGATTAAAGGTAGCTATTGATTTTCTCATCATGCGTCTTGCTCCACACCTTCCACAGTGCGTACCTATCCTTATTTATAGAATCCTGGTGAGTTAGATGTCGGTTGCACAAAAAAAAATTCCGGAAGGTTGTATCGTCTTGTCCCGTCGCTGCGGGAGCGGGGATATAAAAAGTTGAGTTGGTTAGGGCTCGTGAGCTTATGTATAGTGAATTTATAAGGGAAGGGGGGAGCGGGGGGCTCGCTTGGCTTGTTGGTCGCACGTGCGTGAGTTCGAGTTGGATGGACGCACGTGCGTGAGTCCGAGGTGGATGGACGCACGTGCGTGAGTCCGAGGTGGATGGACGCACGTGCGTGAGTTCGAGTTGGATGGACGCACGTGCGTGAGTTCGAGTTGTATGGACGCACGTGCGTGAGTCCGAGGTGGATGGGCGTGGTAGTTTTCTGGGGCCGGGAGAGTGGTGATAGGGCTGGATCTAAGTTTTGCAGATTGGTGAGTGTTTTGGCGAGTCGTTGGTTGGTTGAAGTCAGGTCCGGTGGGGTGGGTAGTTTGGCGTTTTGGGTCGAGTTCGGGTGTGCGCGGAAGGAAATAGATTTTTGGAGGGTTAAATCATGAGTTCGCTGCACACGCTGAATCCGCGGGCGGACTTGTTGCGTCGCGAGCAGGTGAGTGTGTCAGTGTGTGTATCTGAGTGTGGTGTGTTGTAGGCATTTGAGGCGAGTTTGGTGGCGGCGCGCGGGTTGCAGGATATCATGGCTTCGAACCTGGGGCCTCGAGGTACGCAGAAGATGTTGGTGGGCGGTGCAGGTCAGATAAAGATAACAAAGGACGGGAACGTGTTGTTGAAGGAGATGCATATCCAGCACCCGACGGCGGCGATAATTGCGCGTGCGGCAACGGCTCAGGACGTGGTGGTGGGCGACGGTTGCACGTCAGACATTGTGTTGGTTGGTGAGATGATGAAGTTAGCGGACCGTGTACTGAGTGAGGGTGTGCACCCTCGTCGTTTGGCGGAAGGGTTAGACCTGGCACGGGCTGAGGCGCTGCGTTTCCTGTCTGAATTTAAGCGCACGCGTACGGCGGTTTGGGACGACCGCGAGTTGTTGCTGAGTGTAGCGCGCACGTCGCTGACGACCAAGTTGGAGCCAGAAATGGCGGAGCGGTTGGCAGATATTTTGGTGAGCGCAATGCTCTGCATTCTCGGTCCGCATCCCGAACAAATGGCGCAAGAGGCACTTGAAGGGCGTATTCCACTCGACCTGTTCATGGTAGAGGTGCTACACATTAAGGGTGGCGTCAAGAACGAAACGAGGTTCGTCAAAGGAATGGTCATGGACCATGGCTGCCGACACCAAGACATGCCTAGCTCATTACGTGACTGCTTTGTACTCACATGCAACGTCTCGCTCGAATATGAACGGACTGAAGTTAACTCGGCTTTCTTTTACTCTTCAGCAGAACAGCGTTCGAAACTGGCTGATGCCGAACGGCGATACACGGACAACAAAGTGAAGAAAATTATCGAGCTGAAACGCGAACTCTGTCACGGTCCCGACGGTGCACCGAATGGCAAAAGCTTCGTCGTCTTCAACCAAAAGGGGATTGACCCGCCCGCGTTGGAAATGCTTGCGCGAGAAGGCATTATGGCATTGCGTCGAGTCAAAAGGCGCAACATGGAGCGACTTACACTCTGTTGTGGCGGCCAGGCGGTGAATTCGGTCGAGGGCCTGAGGGCGGAGGATCTTGGTCATGCGGACCAGGTTTGGGAGATCGCGATGGGAGACGAGAAATACACCTTCGTCGAAGGAGTAAAAGATCCGCGGTCCTGCTGCATCCTTGTGAAGGCGCCGACAGACCACGCTATTGAACAAATTAAGGACGCCATTCGCGACGGATTGCGCGCACTCAAAAACACTGTCGACGACCTCGCCCTTGTGCCTGGTGCGGGCGCCTTTGAACTTGCTTGCGCCGAACACCTTCACCGTTACGCCGAAGCACACGTGTGCGGCAAACCACAACTCGGCGTAAAACTACTCGCAGATGCGCTCCTAGCCATCCCGAAGACACTCGCCAAAAATGCCGGCTTCGATCCACAAGATGTCCTACTGGCCCTTCAACAACAATACAGACAACTCACTGCAAACCAACCCGAAGGAGCCCCTCTTCCAGATGTCGGAGTAGACCTCGTCACCGGCGAGCCTTGCGGACCCGCAGCACTCGGCATCTGGGATAACGTAGCTGTCAAACGACAATCCATCGTACTCACCACCACTATCACAGCCCAACTCTTACTAGTCGATGAAGTTATCAAGGCTGGCAAACAAATGGGCAACAAACAATAAAGCCCCGCACACACACTCTATCCCCGCTCGTGAGTTGGATGGTTAGGTGCTAACATTTAATCGCAAGCTAACTCCCCACAGACGAACAAAGAATAAATTTACACATGGTCACAAACACCACAGTTTTTGAATCTACAACGCCATCCGACTGGATCAAGTACTCCAGGCCAAACACCGTATATGGTTTAGCCATACACCCCAATAGCCATACAACCCAGTGGCCATACACCTTGGTGTACGGTGGTAAGTCAACCTTGGACAGTGGGGACCAAGGCCGATTGAATCTCTGTTATCACCTCGCGTAGTGGCAGCTCGGTCACACAGTGTCTGCACTCCGATACGTTCTGACAAGACTGGCACGACACGGCAGAGCGGCGTCGAGATCTACAAGGGGGCAAGCGGGTGTGGGTACGGGCAAGCGGGTGCGGGGAGGTATCAGGTGTGTGAGAGGGGAGGTATCAGGTGTGTGAGACATACTGAATGACGATGGAGAGATCATGTGAAGGTGGATGTACGACGTCGATTCCGATGGTGATGACGAGGGTGTCTGGAGAAGGGGGGTTGGTAAAACTTCGGAGTTCGGGGACTTCCGGTAGATCATCGATATGGTGTATCCATAGTCGGTGGTTTGAGACATCCTGTATCTTTACATCGTCGTCATGAGCAAGTAACTCCCAAATATAGGACTTCAGGGTTGCCAACTCGAGATCAACCTGAATGAAGTTGCCCAGACGTACAGTCCTTATCGAATGGGTCAGCATATCACATCTCTCGACCAATCGTTCCTCAATTTGGTCGCAGTAGTTGCCATCCACGATCCTAAAAGAGGAGTTCGAACTCACTACCTCGCTCGGCGCTTCACTCGGCTCGTGACTTGGTGCTGCACTATGAACCCTACTGGTCATTTGACTGGTGTTGCCTTCTAACACACTATTGGTCGTCATGTGGTCGAATGATGAACCAATACTCTCAGGTCCCACAATAAGTCTTTCCGTTGATGCCCCCCGTTGTGTGTCGTGCCACTCGCCAGCGTTCCTATATCTTGTAGGAGTTAAGATATCCCCAGGAATGCGATCAAAGTCGAACGCCATTTCCGGGTCTTGGTGAGTTACATATAACACCGAAATTAGCTTTGTCATTTCATCTCCGACGCCCATTTCATCTGCGACCATTTCATCTCCGACCATTGGAAACGTGGGTACGTATTTTATCTCATCCAGATTAACTACTATTCTGATGTGATTGGTCTGTTTAACTTTTTTGATTAAGTCTTGTATATTCAATGGTCTGGGAATATTACCAAGATTTGGTTCAGGCTTAGTAACTAAATATTTAACGAACGTGTTTGCCCAATTTTCTGCGCTGAATTCAATCACATTATTCCGTCCATATGCGGCTTTTCGCTGTTTCGCTTCGGGCGACAAGGTCAGGGCATGATATAAAGCATCGGCTATAGCGCTAGGGGACCAAGGGTTCATGGAAACTGCACCGTATGCCAAGGATCGATCTGCTCCAACAAATTGAGACATGACCAACACACCTGGAGTTTGACTTGATTGACTAGCAACAAATTCACATGCTACCAAATTCATCCCATCTCGAACAGAAGAAATCAAACAAACATCAGCTGATATATACAAATCCAACAACTGCTTAAATTGAACAGATTGATCTAGGAATTCAACAAATGGACCACTACTAGTACCACTGCCAACAGATTGAGGAGACCTATATTTCCCATTTATTTCACCAACAAGTGTGTGGCACACAGTTTTTAATTTCTTGTAACATTCCACTTCACCCCGAGAAGGTACAGCCAACTGCACTAGCACCGTATTCATCGCAATATCCGGATACATTTCTAGAAATTTTTGGTAACCACGCAACTTCTGATAAATACCCTTCATGTAATCCAAACGATCCACACCCAGTACTATTAAACGACCTTGGTATTGTTCTTTAAACTTCTCCGCTGACAACTTCTGCGCTGATGTACTCGATGCCTTAACAAATTTATACGGATCGATACCAATGGGCATTGCTTTTACCAACGATTTACAACCACCTATTCCACGTGCGTCTATATGTGAAGATAGCAACTTCACGTCTAATAACTGCTGGCAAGCATCCATGAAACTTCGTTTGTAGCTATATATATGGAAACCAATCAAGTCTGAACACAACATGCCCAGTAATAGGGGATTCCGCTCCTTGATTCGACGCCACATACAAGGATGAGGAAACGTAGTGTGAAGAAAAAACCCGATCTGTAAGTCGCTGTCATAGCCATTATGATTGCCAATATGATTGTCATGATGGTTGTCACCATGTTGATTGTCACCATGTTGATTGTCACCATGTTGATTGTCACCATGTTGATTGTCACCATGTTGATTGTCACCATGTTGATTGTCACCATGTTGATTGTCACCATGTTCGTTGTCACCATGTTCGTTGTCACCATGTTGATTGTCACCATTTTGGTTGTCACCATGTTGATTGTCACCATTCAAGTATTGACGAATAATTCTAGGTAACAGCATAAGGTGGTAGTCGTGTACCCATATTAGGATCTGCTCAGAAGGGTTCTGTTGCTTAAGCTCAAAGTATTTCGTCTTAACTACTCGGCCAAATTCCTGGTTGGCTTCCACGTAGGCATTATACATTTTGGGCTCATCTTTCGGCGTACTGTCCTCGACATAATGGAGCAGTGGCCATAGAACAGAATTACAGTAACCGTTGTAGTAGTCCTCGACACACTCCTTTGAGAGGAATACGGGTGTTAAGTTGTTCTGGCGACAGTTATCTAGAACCTTCGGTCGAAGTTTCTCTGGTACGTAACTACCTGGCCATCCAATCCAGACTGCGTCTAAGGAACTTACGCCTTTCAAAGCCGATACTAATCCACCGCTAGATGGCTGAATTATCACATCCGATTCCCCAGTTAACTTGAGAGTGACCGGCAAACGGTTCGCTATAACCAATACCTTTACCCTAAAGGGAGGGATGGGAAATAACCACAAGGGATGGGAAATAACCACAAGGGATGGGAAATAACCACAAAGGATGGGGAGAAGATAATAGGGGAGAGAGCGACATGGAGAGGCAGAGGATAATAGGAGAAGGTATGGGCAGAGAGAGATCACAACGAAGGGCTGATGTAATGAGAGGGAGAACAAAACCACTGCAATGAAGGAGGTGATTACATAGACAACCAGGCTGACTGAGAACTGAGCTAGGGGCAAGGAGATTCCGGCAAGAGGCAAGATCGCAAGGGACTGAGTACAAACCAGACGGAGTACAAACTACCACCAATAATGTGGACCACACACTTCTCGTAAACTTTTCAAAACCAAGGTAGAGCAGGGTAGGGTAGGGCAGAGCAGAGCAGAGCAGGGCAGAACAGAGCAGAGCAGAACAGAGCAGGCGATGTGGAGAGGATTTGGGGTGGAGGGGGGG